TCCTGAAATGCAGGTAGACATACTTTTTCAGCAGATTCCACATATATATAAATATTCCCTCAAACCAAATTCAACTACACAAATCTGATGATCACGAAGGCCATTCTTTCATCACAACAAAAGTCTGTACTGCTAAGAAAAAAATATGTTTGGCTAAACTACAAATTTAAAATCCATTGGAACAGTGCAGAACAACTTTTGGCTCATAAATCAGCATTCTGACTAATGAATAACAAAACTGGAAGTATCCTGCTGAGGCCCTGTGTAGAAAGTGCATTTTGGTTCAAGGCCTTAAAGTTATCAGTAATAGAACTGCACCTGATTGACTAATGAAAGCAAAATGTTAAATTTCCTGTAACAAGTCATGAGAACCCTGACACGGTCTAATCAGTTCTTTGGCCCTGCATTGTATTTGCACAGGGTGCTTGTTTACTCTGAAATAACAAGCTCTCCGGGGTAGAGAGCAATCACACACTGTCACACTTCACTAGTATGTTATACCCTATAAAGAGGAAAGCCTCTATTAGTATAAAGTTCAGCCACAGAGCTGTGGCTTTCATTTCTTGGTGTTATGGAACCCATTGCATTCCATGTAGATCCTTGCCCTGGGCTTTGGAATCAGCTCCATCAATATAGCAAGTAGAAAAAAATTCTTGAGGCTTACGGAAAGAAAAACTACTTATGTATAGACCTAAACATTATAGAAGAAAACTACTGCCTTCCTCTCAGTTTGTGTTCAAATTACTTTAGAATTAACTAATAACAGTATATACGAATGGTCACTATTTCAAGTATTCGAGTAAATATTTGTCCTTTCTTTTCTCTCAAATTTGTTTTTATCCTCAAGCAAAACAACTTGTGGCTCATTTACAACTTGTGGACCATATTTATGATCCTGTACAGTAGAAGCAGAACAAACCCATCTTGATTTAAATGGCACAAACTTACTTTCTGTTGTAGTTCACAGTTCATAGCCCTAACTAAAAAGTTGGAATAGGCATTCAAGATAAACTTATAATACATTTACATTGTCATTTTGTGGGTTTGCAGCATATATTTTCAAAAGGATCTAGGTGATTATGTTGGGCATAATTAGAATATGTGAATTTGTATTAATAAAGGTTGAATGCAGAAAAGGTAAAATGAAAAATTAATTGAAGAGGTAAAATAGCCTCAGTTTATGTAGACATAGCAATGTGTTCTTTAACAGATTTTCTTCCTAGTTTATAATAACACAACCCCACTGAGACTGTGGATATGCCATATTGAATACCTGAACTTGTCTGGCATTTTCTTCTCATGCAACAGTGACAATGATCTGTTTTCCTCATTCTGTGATGGTCCTTACTTGTGTGATTGTTAAAAATAAAACATTATTGAGTGCTTTGTGCAAGAGGCAACATTTGGTGAATAAACAGGGGATCTGAGGAAATCAATTATACTGCAAGTCATGAGCAATAGGCAAAGGTCAGCAGGACAATTACTGCCCTCACTGTAATGGCTCACTGGGGAAAAGCAAGAGCAAAGTAGGTGACCTGTGTCTCACAAGATGACTTGTACGTGTCACTACATGAGCATCCAAAGATGCAGAGCAATACAGAAACAGAAGAGAACAGAAGAAAGGAGCAAACAAGGTAAAGGACTAAAAAAAAGAAAATGTTGGAAGAAATACATGATACATCATTGGGAGGGATACCAGTGACACAAACAGTGTGGGCTACGAAGATGAACGTGTGCTACATAAAGCTGGAAGAGAGGGTGCATCTTCAGACAGCGAGCCAGACACTGGTCACAGCAGTATCAATACAGACTATGCATAGCAACAGCTCCTCTGTGTTTGTACCCAAGAGGAGAATTTGGTCACTGGCAACTGGAAACCAGGACAACCTAAGCCAGAATCTTGTCCAATATCACCTACAAAATGCTGTTACCACATGTTTTTCTACATTTCATGTTTTACCAAACACAGTCTATTGTTTACTTTTGCACCCGGTAAAGCCACAAATAAATTCATTTCTTTCCTGGTTACCAACTTATAAAAGGCTGTTCCAACACAGGCAAAACCCACTATAAGACAACTGACTTGTACTGCTTAATTTAACGAGGCAAGTAGGGCCCTATGCTGGAGTACTACACAGGAGGATCACCTGTGCAGTTACATGTTCTCCAAAGGGCTTTCCCATCTCTGTGTACCATCACCAATGACACAGAAACTGCCCTTTAACCTTTTCAGGGGGTAATCTCTAATTTTCTCATGGAGCCCCCATACCTACTGAGGTACTATGGCAACCATTATCAGGCCAACAGAACTCCTTTTGTCTTCATTATCTCTGATCATGTGAGTCACTAACAGCTGTCTGTAAATAGATTGCTTAGCAAAGTATTTATTGATACCTTCCAATGCCTCAGAGTAATATCATTTGAAACAATATTGCTGCTTTACATATCAATTTCTTAAACTGTTATAAAGGCTGTCCAGTGATACCTTGCTTTGTTTCCAATGGGTATGTAGGAAAAGACCCTCATGACTTCCAGAAGAGAACAACTTCCAGAGAAAAGCACTAAAACACTATGGGCTACCAGAGACCACAGCTCAGCAAACCTGCAGGAGAGCCAGGCCAGAGCTTAAATGGAGCTCCAGCACCCACAGGAAGCAGCGTGGGCAGAAGCCTCAGCTGAAGCTGGTCAAGGTTGTAAAGGTGTGTTAGTCCACCCAGAGCCCTGGCAACACTTTGGGAGCAATAGAGACACACTGCTTACACATGCCTGGAATCAGTTAGCAGATACCTAAGGAAAAGGATAGCAAAAAGTTCACCTGACTTTTTCATGGGATTTATTGTATCACTGCATTGCTGTATTCTTTTTTTTTTGCCTAATTTCACCAACTCAATATCAAGGGCTTTATTAAAATACTTGAAAAAATCCACTTCTTTTTAATTCCAACTTTATGGCACCTGCTAATGCTGTTTAAATCTCCCATATTTCCATTTTCCTGTAAAAGGACTATTTGTAGAATAGCTTTTACAGTGTTTTAGTCTAGGACATATACCTTTTCCCACAATTTTTCCTGATACCCTCCCTATCTCTTAATCCTGAAACATTCCTAATATCTTTATCCTTGAATCAGTAGAAAAAGATGGGAGAGGCTTATCCCTGCAGGAATTCTGCAGCTATGCTTGTGGTCTAACCAGTACAGACTATCAAAGAAAGAGTCACAAAAAATATCAGAAAGAAGAGTCAGCAAAAGACTTCCACTATGCCACCTTCTGTTCTCACACAGGAAGGGTAGGTAAAGAATCCAAAAGATAAAACTAGCTCAGACTATTTTTGAACTATTTCTTTTAGCTGTTTCTGTTTGCACTCTTATAAAACCTTGGCAGGCAAGGAGAATATTCTTAGAATAGCAGATTTCTTGCTTTGTTCCGCATCTGTTCCAAAACCATACAATGTATTTGAACAGCTGGCCAGTAACATGCAACGATCAAGTGTGGCAATGACAAACAATCACATTCTTTGATGAGGACTGAGATTTCAAAGCTGAAATAAACCCTCAGATGTACATCTTGGTCTTAGGGCTACATGTTCAGATTTAAATCATAGTTTTTATTTTTCTTGAATTGAGCTTTCCATTGGCAATAAAGGACAAACAAGTACTCATTATATCAAAATAAAACACTGGAACTACTCTGCAGAAAAGAATTTCCTGGTGGTGTTGCTAGGACGAGAACCAGAGGAGCTCAGTCTGGCCGTGTGTCATTACTGTGCTGCACGTAGCTTTAGAATCTTGAAATTATGTTTTGCTTTTTACACAAATGTGTAAAGATGATCTGAAGAATAACCCCTGATGAGCATTCATACCTCCTTCTTTGTCCTTATCTCCTTTGTAACTTTGTATCCAGGGGTATACATCACCTTATTCTAAAATCCCCAGCTACAGCCTTGGGCCCAGCTGTGTTGGTCTCCAATATTACCCGCCTGCCCTCCTATAAAGTGAAGCTTGATTTTATGCCTACAACCTTCATAAAACCTATCTTTACGTTTAAAGAACTCCAAGAGCATGTCAAGGTCATTTTTACGTGTAGGAAATAACATTAACCTAAGCTAAGCTCTCAAGTGACATTTCTTGTAACTGCCACAAAAAAACATAATAATTAACAGTTAGAGTAATGTTTAGAGATTTTGGTGTTCATACTGAATGAGATTTCTACAGCATCTGCTCTCTAAAATGTAAGTGAACAAGCGTAAATTAATTAGCTACTGGAGGAAACTGACAACTATCACTGTACATATCACTTACTAAAGAAGTGCTGAAGCAACCTGATTGTTGAAGCAATCAGTACTGAACGCTGATTTTCATAAAATGTAATTAGTGTAAGGCTTTGCAGACTGCTTCACACAGTTGTCTTCACGCAGGTCCTCCTTCCACCTCTGTTCTATCACACTGGGATGGCTGACAGGAAAGCTAAAAATGATCACCAAGAGCAGAACAAAAAGGTTATTTTCATCAGCTGAACACTTGAAAAAACAAAACAGATAGAACAGGCAGAGCACTGACACAGCATCATGCTGGAGTATGAGCATCACTGCAGCTGTCATGCATCTTCTTAAACCTGCGATTTTGTTTTCACCCCGACCGCTTGCACAGGTCTGTGAGAACGCTGGGCTGCGGTAGGCTTTTCCTTCCTCCGCCCTCTCCGGGCAGCACCATTGGACTGATGAGATGTAGCAAGGCACGTGTGAAAGATAAAGCAGGGAAGAGAAGGAGGAAAAAAAAAAAAAAAAAGAAAGAAAGAAAAAAGTCTGTTTTTTACAGGAGATCCTGATCGTCCGGGCCGCCGCGGCCGCGGGGCACAGCCCGAGCCCTTTAAGCTGCCCACCCTCTCCGCGGGCCGGCGGCAGCTGCCGGCTATTTGGCGGCTATTTATACCGGGGCGGCGGCGGGCGCTGGGTGTCCTGCGCGGGGCGGTCCCGGCGGCGGCGGGGCCCGGGCAGGAGCTGCCATGGCCACGGAGTTCCCCCCCACGCCGGCCAGCGGCGGCCGCGCCGCGGAGACGCCGCTGAGCCCGGCGCGGCTGAGCCGGCTGCAGGAGAAGGAGGAGCTGCAGCAGCTCAATGACCGCCTGGCCGCCTACATCGAGCGGGTGCGGGCGCTGGAGGCCGACAACTCGGCGCTGCAGCTGCGACTGAGCGAGCAGGAGGCGGGCACCGACCGGGAGCTGGACTGCCTGCGGCTGCACTACCAGGCGGAGCTGGCCGACGCTCGCCGGGCGCTGGACGACATCGCCATCGAGCGGGCCACGCTGCAGGTGGAGCTGGGCAAGATCGGCGAGGATCACCGGCAGCTGCACGTCCGGTCGGTGCCCCGGCCCCGAGCAGGCCTCCCTGCCTGGGGACACCCCGGAGAGCCGGCCTTTTGGGGCTCCTGCGGGATGAGGGGAAGGGGATGCTGCTGGCAAGAGCTGTGTGTTGTAGGGAGAGTGCACAGGGATGTTGGGTGTATGGGTCGTGCAGGGGTGACACCCCAAAGGCTCTTTGGGGTTGGAGTGTCTTGGGTCAGGAGACATCTGGATTCCTGTTCTGAAGGTGAGCTGTAGGGACACTACTGGGAGTGCCTCCTCTGGTGGTGCTATGGGGTGGCATGGCACCTGGGATGGGCATGGGGCTCTGTCAAAATTTGGGGTGCTGGGTGCTCTTATAGGGTATGAATGCAAAGCTGCATGGGTTTGGTACCACACCTGTGTTTACAAATGCTCAAGATGCTGGAAAGGATCTAGAAAGTTATGGAAGCAGTGGAAGGAGTTTTGTATGGAGTTAGTGCACATCTCTTTTGGGCTGTTTTGCTCAGGCGTTGTCCAGAGAGGGCAGTCCTGGGAGCAGTATAGCTTACCTGGTCCAGGTTGGTACTTCATAGGAGTTTTCCTAGTGGCTTTTGGGTCTGGATTTACATGCTACTGGGACAAGCTGCCTGCTGTTTCAGCTAGACTTTCTTGTAAGCTGTGTATCCTGAGCCTGGAATCATCTTGTTGTCTAGTCTTGCCTAGGCTGGAACAAAGGGGTGGCCCAATATAAGTGCAATCACATCCTCTTGAAGGAGGGAAGAGAAGTGTAGTGAAGGGGAGGAAACAAGTGTCCAATCCCAACAAGCTTCCTTTATGGATGTATACAGCGTACTAGCACTGCTAGTTACTTTAATGACCCATTGTACCCCTAAATCACCTACAGACTTGTAATAATTTGGGTGTCCACAAGCCTCCAACATCTTGTTATAAGCATGTAATCATAGCAAACTGAGGCACTAACTTCTTCTTTTAATGCCTGTATGGAGCAAGTACTGCCCCCTCATAGGTTCAGTAGCTGTTCTGCTTGGGAATAAAATGTGTTTTTACTCTAAGCTTCTGTTTTCATCTGCATAGTTGTTGTTGGGCTTGTCTCAGTCATGCTGGGTTTTGGCTCACAGATCTGTTTCATAAATCTAACCAGCCACTTGACTGGACAGTGAGGAGAGGGGTAATGCCTGTTCTAAAAGTTTTCTGCTGCTCTTTGTGTTTGTATAACTTTGGCTTTGTTTATAAAGCTTTAGACTTGGCAGGTATGCAATCCTCTAGACTGTTGTTTTTTCTTTACTTTAAATAGGTCTTAGAAGTGGTTAAATTTACATCCCATGGGAAATGATATCCAGTACATACTGGTTTCTGAAAGGACTAGACTGAAGTCCTAATATTAATGTGTGTTGTATCTGGGCTGCCTAACTGCAGATGTCTCAGATGACTTGGAACAAACTTTGAGGGTATCGTGCCCTTAATATATACACCCTTTAAATAACCTGGTGGCTATTTAACTCTTATGGTATGGAATGTCACCAGATAATTTCCCAACAGCATTAACTATTGGCTCTGACTAATCACAAGTTGAGAGACTCAAAGTTTATGATGACTTACTGCATTTCAGTTTCTTTCTTACTACTTACAGTGGTGACTGGAAGTAGGCCAAGGATGTTTGGGGAGGAGGAGTTGTAGATAAGCATATCAGTTGGTTGAATTCAGAGCCTGAGGAAGGTCAAAGCAACTACAGTAACACAGCAGAGAGAGACAAGACCAGTTCCTTTCTGCATCAGGGAGTATAGATGTGCATTTTACTGCTGAACTGACACACGGAGTAGCAGCTGAGGCCATAAGAATGAATTCTGTACGTGCTGTTGATGTCCTCTGGTCTTGACAAACTGGAGTCCGAACACATACCTGAAATATTCTGGTAAAATTATTTAAATTCTTCAGATTGAGCATATGTGACATCCTGACTTACAGAGAATGTGATTGGCAGTGCCTCAAAGTTTTTGCTTGTAATTGATAGTCAGTAACTCACACTTAGTTCTAGAATGGTTGGTATATGGAATAGTGCAGAGTACTGTAACTGTCACCGCTTTCTGCATGATGGTATAAAGTGGTGTTCAGAACCCCAAACTTGGTTTAAAAGGGTAATAAAAGCTCTTGTCAAAGTCAGACTCTTTAAATTATTGTTCTTAAAGATGAAATTACTCAGTCCAGATTTCTTTGAAAATATTTGTCAGGAAAGAATCTAGGAAACCTCAGCCTGGCTGTCAGAGGCTTACTCTGGGAAAGTGGACTGCTAAAACACAGATAGTAATGGAATTTCAGTTTTGCAAACACTTTGATTGCAGAATGAAATTTATATTATTGTAGGATGAAACAGTCAATATTATTACAATGTAGTGTTACTGATATACTTAATATCATACATAATACAGTAAGTGGTAGGAGAGACCCAAAAGGAAGGTGAATACCTAGAAAAGAAAGAAACATGTAAATACTAAAACTATAGCATATTATCTGTTTTTCATAGTTAGTAGAGCTACTTTCCTCCTAGAGTCTGAGTAAAGACTAAATAACCTTTGCTAGCAAAGCACAATCAACAAAGGTCTCTGCAGAGGAGAGCTAGAAAAGGCCTTGAACAAGAACCTGATGTAACCAGATGCCCCAGACCTGTGTTGGAAGCAGCCATACCTGCATCCCTTCTAGCAGATTTTGTGTAACTCTTATTTTAAATTCCAGATGATGGGGATTCCAGAATATCCCCCCCAAGCAATGTGCTTCCATGTTGAACTACTGTTAGTTTCCTCCCCCTAAACATCTAACACAAATATTCCTCCCTGCAATTTAAGCCTGCAGCTTCCCGTCTGTTCTACAACAGACATGGAAAATAGATTCCCTTCATGTATGTAAAGGCTGTTCTGTCTCCTGTCACTTTTCTGTTCTCTAGACTAAACAACCCTAAGTTTTTTTCCAATCTTTCCTTGCAATCCAGGCTTTCTAGAGCTGATCAATCCTGCAGAATTGCTTTGGATTCTCTCCAACTCTGCTCTGTTATCCACTGGAAAACTCATTGTATGAACGAGCACAACTTTGCCACTTGGCAGAAGAGATTTTGCCAAAACAGATTGAGGCCTTTACTCTTTGCAAGCTCAAGTCTGAGTTTTGAGCAGGAACTCAAGACTCTGGATAGTGGGCAGGGCAACTGCAAAGGATTTTAAAAGTTGGACTAGTGTGGGGAGTTATCACTGTGTTCTTTGACAGAACTCGCTGAGGGCCCAGCACTTTGCCGCCGTGGTGCCAAGTAAAACTGGCAACGTAACCCTGTTGGCCGTGCAGGCGGTACCCGAGGTGCAGTGCCTGGGCGTTGGTCTGGAGATGCCTCTTCCCAAGGCAAAGCTGCTCTTCCCTTGCATCTCCACGGTGGAGGGAGGAGTGCGTGTCCCTTCCCGAGGAAGGGCAGTCCCTTGCAGGGGTGCTGTGAGGGAGGGCGGCTGTCGGACCTCGCTGAGGGGCTGCAGGAGGCAAAGCTCCAGCGGGGCCGCGGGGCAGCTCCCAGGGCTGGCCGGTGGCCTCTGGGGGACAAAGCTCCCTCTGTGCTGCGGGGAGGAGGAGCGGCACCCCCGGCAGCCACAGCCCGCGGAGGAGGGGGCGCTTCGCCCCGTGTGTGACCGGCCCGGCCGCCTCAGCCCCTGCGGGTCTCCCCGGCCAGGGTCGTGCGGGGTCGGAGCCCCCGGTGCCGTGAGGCGCCTTCCCGGCGGGCTGGTGGCGGCCCTTGCTGCGGGGGAGTGTCCGTGAAGGCTCGGTCACGGAGTGTGACCATCCCTCCCTGTGGAGCTGGAGACCTGTGCCGTCCCTTCCCTTTCCCGTTGGGAATGCCGTGGAGAATAGCTGGCTTCCGCATAGGATTCGCGCAGAACGAGCTGGAAAATGGGTCAGGAATCTTGCCGGTTAAACAAATGATGCTTGGCCGAGGGGCCTGTCCGTTTGTTTTACAGCTCACCCTGTGCTCTCACCGTGAGCACGATTAACCTCCCCTCTGTTTCACCACAGACCCCTCTGAAGGCAAACACGTTGAAACACATTGAAAACAAACCCTTCCTCACCAGCTGCAACTTACCAGTATAGAACTTTCACTTGCAGGAATTCCAAAAAAGAAAGTGATTTGAACCTGGCCCAGGCTCGTCTGAGAGACCTCGATGCCCAGCTGATCGCGAAGGAAGCTGACTTAGCCACAGCCCTGAGCGAGAACCGCACTTTAGAGAGTGAGCTCCGTGAATTAAAGGAGGAAGTACTCACGGTAAGACTTGCTCTTGGAATTTAAACTTTGCTGCTATTCCTGCAGTTTTTGCTTGGTTTTCCCCAATTACTTTTTGATATCTAAAAGCAGGGAAAGCCCATTAACTATGGCAGTGAAGAGTAGGCAAAAAGATTTCCACAATCTTGCTGAAAGCAATTGCTACTCATAGTGCCTTAAGACTTCCACCTGTTGCATGCACCTTAAATTCTATGACCACAGTATGTAATGTTTCTTGTTCTAAGGTCAAAACAAGTTGAAAATTGTAGTACTGCTGTAATCCCTGAAGAATTCTGTAACATGTCAAGGAAGGGAGCCCTGGAGAAACCCTGCTTCCCTGTGCTTAATATCTGGGTAGAATAAGTTCTGACTACTCTCTTTTTTGTAGGCTTTTGTGCAACTAAAATGAACTCTGCTCGAGTTGCTACTCTATCAATGCACTTATAAGAGCATAGCTTTAGTATCTTCATGCTTTAATGTGTTCATTGAATAAGCTAATTTCAAATTTGTAAGGATGAAAACTTTAAAAAACCCAACAAAACAAACAACATTGTATCATTAAAGCAACATACTCCAACACTGGAAACGTATAATAGCATGTCAATGTAGGTAGGCTATATCTGGAGGATTTTACTCCATTAAGTGTCAAAGAAATTATATGATGAGTTAGGAAGAAGTTCTAAATATCTGCTATTGTAAAAGGGGAGGAACGTATATGGATGGTACAATTGATCAGAAGTCTACTCTGAGGAGTCAAACTTAGCTGGTGGCATTAAGGGCTGCTCTGCATTTGCCTTGTGGGAAATCTGGTCTACATAAAAATTAAATAGGATTCTATCTGTTGGTAATATTCTGGATCCCACTGAAATAAGAACTTAAACAGAATAACCCACTTCACTCAAGCAGCGTGTTTTGGTTGCTGTGGGAGTGAAGTTGAATGATCTATAACACATTGGCTGCCTTAATTTGAAAACATGACCTCTCAATTTTGATAACCCTGTCATCTGTCCTTTCTAGCTGAATATGTCACTGGAAGATACCACAAAGCATCTCCACAGTGAAATGTTGAGGAGGGTGGACCTAGAAAATCATATGAAAACTTTGCAGGAAGAAATGACGTTCCAGAAGCGCCTTCATGAAGATGTATGTTTTAGCTTATAAACCAGCAATTTTTTTCTAGGTATCCATGGATGCACTTAAAAGTAAGGTTAAGATGGGCTTAATGCTTAAAAAGGTAACTAGCTGAGCCAACCTATGGCAGCCCATCACCTAATTGAATCCACCTAACTAGGAAGACTTCAAGGAAGTACACAACCTCATGTTAACTGGGTTAGTACCAAGAGATATCTGGAATATGAGAGAATTTTCTCAGGCTGCTCTTCTGAACTACAATCCCAGTATACTGTTTTGTGAAAGTGCATATATTACAGTTACTGTTAAATTATTCCAGATGTTTGCTTGAAGCCTGAAATAAGTGAAGAAATTAAATCTGCTTTAATAAGCAACTTGTGTTCCCAACTTCCTTAACACTTCTTAATGGTGTCTGGTAACCTTTGTGAGAGAAGTCAGTACACAGAACTAAGAAACAGGTGAATGTAAACCAGCTTCCTTCTTGCTGGTAGGAATCTTGAAGTGTGTGGTTTAAGTGATAGAATTCTAAGTTCTCTAACCAACTGCTACGACTTTTTGAATAAAACAAGAATAGGTGAAGTAACAGTGCTTGAAGAAACTGAAGTGTATCTGCATGTGTTCAAAGTAAAATAAACTATCTAGTGTAAAGAATTAAGTCTTACAATTAAATATGAATTATTACTTTTATTAGTTTGAGCAATGTTGGCAGTGAGATGGCAAAACAATAGTGAGGCATCTAGCAAGGTGGGCATGCCAGACCTAATGGATGAACACCTAAGATATGAATCAAGATGAATTACTGTGTACTCAATGAGAAATGTGCTTCAGGAGTGAAGGACTCATGAAGCTGGTACACTTTGAGTCTCAAACTGTATTGGCTTGTTTATTCTCTGTAAAATTTCTTCTTCTAGAAGCTCAAGGAGACAAAAAGAGTCCATGAGAGCAGGGTAGCAGAAGTAGAATCTGGCCGTCAGAGAGAATTTGAGAGTAAGCTCTCAGAAGCTCTGCAGGAGATCAGAAGACAACACGAAGAACAAATTCAAGGATACAAAGAGGAGCTGGAGCGAACATTCAGTGCAAAGGTGAGTTTGTAAAGACGACAGTAAAACAAAGCTGAAGTTCTCTGCACCTTGACACAATTCAAGTCACGCTAGCATGAACAGCTTATCTGATGGATCCCTTGCTTTCAGTGTGGAGCTTCTTGGCATAAGTTATGGAATTGCAAAGCAGTGTCAAATTTAGGATTTCTGCAAACTTTTGGTCCCAAACCAAACTGGTTCAAGCATAAATACTGTCCCTTTGGGAAGTGACTAGGAATAGCTGATTATATTTGAGACTTCTGACAAATTTGGGACCAAGGTGTGTATTAAGCAATTTCAGTCTTGAATAAAGCCTAACTTTTTCTACACTCTAACTTATGTGCCAATTCAGTGAATTCCTTTGGATGCTTCTGTTTCTGTTTTGACTGGAAATTCTGAGTGCCTCTTGTAGGAGCACTTTATCCTTTCTTGGAAAATCTCAAGATTGAGCTATTTGTAGAGCAATTCAATGCTGCTTATAATGATGCAGGAACTCTTTAGTAACAGACCTTTTGGGGAAGAGCAATAATAGTTTGATATGCACACCCAATGTCCTGCAGCCCTATGCTCTGAAGCAGCTTCTAAATATATTCTCCATTGTTCTTCTGGAGAATTCATTAATGTCTATACAAAGACTTCATGCATCTCTAACTGAAATATCCTAATCCAGCCACTTTCTCTACCTGATTATTGCTGACTTTTTCTGACATAAATATCAAACTTCTGTAAACCTCCTTGGAAAGCAGTGAAAACCTTTGAGCTGGACTTCATTCATATCTGCACACTTAAGTAAAACAAAACTATTTCCAGATGTAACAGGTGAAAATTACTTGGGTTTCCTTACGTATTTAAAATATATGGTAATATGCAACTGATTACTAACAGTGACTTATCTGCAGATGGAGAATGCCCAGCTAACTGCAAGAAGAAATAGTGAGTCTGCCAGTGCTGCTCGGGAGGAGCTGCTGGAAACAAAGAAGAGAATTGATACTCTGGTATCTCAAGTTAATCAGTATCAAAGCCAGGTGCTGTCTTTATTTGTATAACCTTAGAATTATTTTAATTTAGATATTCAATTGAAAATATTGGCCTCTTCTCTCTAATCCTTAGTTGTGGGGTTTTTTTTCCCATTCTGTTCATTTTAGAATGTTGCTTTGGAGAGCAGAATAAAGGAGCTACAGGACTTGCTGGATTATGATCGTGATCTCCATCGAAGGCACATGGCTGAAAAGGAGGAAGAAATGGCACAAGCTCAGAGGCAGGCACAAGAACAGCTGGAAGAATATGAGCATCTCTTAGATGTGAAACTGGCTCTGGATTTGGAAATAAATGCCTACAGAAAGATGCTGGAAGGAGAGGAACAGAGGTAGGCTATGACAAGATCTTCATATGAGGACTTGCTTCATTCAGGACATCTACACTAACTGTATACCTTCAGAACGTGGAGGAGATAAGACACAAACATTAAGTATGTCATTAGTGCAGTAACTTAGTTAATGAAGCATAATCTTCTGTAGAAGGTATTTATATCCCACCTCTAACACATGGTGTAGTAAGATGAAGTAGCTTGATAAACCCAACTGATAAAATTCAAAGGTCCATTAGACGTTCCTCCACTTCCTCAAAGTTTTGTGCTACATCTTAAAGATATATCAAAGACAGTGCTCAAGTTCCATGAATGAAACTGAGAAACTGTATCAACTCCCATCTATCCAGACATGATATCTCACTTGCCTATTGAGACAAGAACTCTCAATTAGAAGAGTCAAAAACCTTAAAATTACTTTTACTGAAGACTGTGTCTGTAGAGACTTTAAAGGAATACTTACTGCAGTTGGGAATCTTTTTTCTTATCAATATAAGCTTGCTCTGGACTTCAGGGCTGGAGCGGTCTTCCAGACTTAACAAGCCTTAGCTACTCTTGCCAATAAAAAGAAAATTTTATATTCATGGAAAGCTTGGACAGAGGAAGCTGTTAGGCTTGGTTACAGTAGGAGGATAGGATTGACGAGAAATCAAGCATGTCAGACAGTCAAGTGAATGTTATCTGACTCTCCTCTAGGCTGAGGCTGTCACCCACTCCATCTTCACGCAGCATGGCAACTCCAACAACAAGTAAAGGACGGAGGTTTCTGCATGGGAAGAAAAGGAAAGTGAAAGAATCCAAAAAGAGAGAGTGTGCTGCTGCATTTAAGACTGTTCAGCATGCCTCAGCTTCTGGAAATGTATCCATTGAAGAGATCGATGCAGATGGGAAATTTGTCAGGGTTAAAAACAACTCTGACGAGGTACTTTTGCTTTCATGGCCTTCATTGCCAAGTGTGACTGTGAATGACTTCTAGCTTAGTGAAAGACTAGAGACTGACTTCTTTGGTACTGCAGGTGTTCTGTTCACAGGGCTGTCTGGGAGGTGCTTTTGGGTGGAGGTGCAATGAGTTCTCTTATGCAGAAATCGAACACCTTCAGCTGTTTGTCATCAGATTCAGGCTAGCACTATCAGAAGTACTACTTATCCTTGATGAACTTAATAGGGTGCCTAGTAAATTGGATCATGACAGTCTCTTATTGCTTAAAAATACTTAAACCAGCTAAAAGATTAAATAGAGATGATGATATCTAATCCATGTGGAGGGTTTATCTGATCGGTTAGGTAGTTCTTTGACTAGTTTAGTTTGCAAAGCCAGAACTATTAGAATTAATCATTAGGGCTTCAAAACATGTGGCTTGTAGTCTAGCCTCTTCAGCCTGAGATGCCTTACAACTTCACAGGCTACTATGTATTTTATATATATATGGCTCAAGTTGGGTAGATGGGCACAGTTCTGATAAACTTCACTTATAAGAATCTCCCTGGTAAAGAGCATCATGACCCCCCCTTCAATGGAAGGCAAGAATAGGTGTGGCCTAACTTATGGGACTAAGGAGAATCCTAAAATACAAGGAGAAAACATAGGGAGGCTGTAATGGAAACTTGCCTGCTTCCTCAAAATTGGTCACATTTTTGTATGCTACAGGAGTGGCATTAAAACTGACCCATGAGTCTGGAAAGAACCTTGCATTTGCATCACATGGTGTTGATCTGCAATGCTGAGTGAAATTTCTTGTCCCACAGGATCAATCACTCCATGGCTGGGTGCTGAGACGACATATTGGAAGTGTGTCAGATGTTACTTACAAGTTTCCTTCGCAGTTCACTCTTCAGGCAGGCCAAGTAGTTACAGTAGGTAGTGGTTTTGTCAAACTTTCTCAGCTCTGTTCCTGTGTTAGATGTCAATAGAGATTCCTGTAATTTGGAAAACTAAACTGATACTTTAAGTGCCTGAAGGACTAAAGTTCTTATTTTATGTAGTGAGGGAGATGAGGGAAAATCTTTGCAGCAACTTAATCTGAAATGCCAGTTAAATTTTCTTTAAAGCTTGGATGAAACCTGGATCATCCCAGATTGGAATGTGCTCTAACTGTAAATAGAATCATTGTACTGTAGTATATTCTTAGAGTTCCCTAAGTATATTGTACTAAGCTAAACATTAGCACTAAAATTGTACTCTTAAGTACATTTAGATAGCGATAAAGAGCCAAACTCTACACTTGCTACTCCAAACTGTGTAGGAGCTTGCTTAAGAGATCTGTGAGTGACCAGGAGAGAGGCTCTTGTACACACAAGTTGCTGCCTCAAGCATGTCTGTGACTATGGCTTGGCTCTGTGACTCAAATGTTATGCATGCCAAGCAGGGCTACCTCTGCAGCAGGTAGAAGCTGGTAACAGCCTCTTCTGCACTAAGTGTTTTACAGTTTTCAGTTAAAAAAAAAAAACAACTTTACCATCATTCTTGGTATTCCTAAAAAGAACTAACTTGCCAGGGATCACAATGATTCAGTTTCTGTTACTGGACATCTTTGGTATTGCAGTACTTGATAGTTATGTGTATTAGACTGAATCCTCCTCTAACTACAAAGATTCTTCAGAGGCTCACTCTAAATCTATTGCAGATCTGGGGTGCAGCTGCTGGTGTAAGCCCAGGTCCAAGTGATCTGGTCTGGAAGTCTCAGAGGTCTTGGGGAACTGGGGATAGTATTGATGTTACACTTATCACAGATGATGGTGAGGTAAGTGAAATAGTAAATAGCTTCTACTGTCCTAATACTAAATTTGTTTGTGCTTAATCCGTGAGGATCCTTGGTGGCAATTCAATTGTATTCTAGGAACTCGCAGAGAGGAAGATAACATTTGTACCCAGAGGAGAAGAAAGCAGTGAGCAAGATGATGATTATGAAGAAATAACTGGAAGTGAAATGGAGTTTGCATCTCAGGTAAGCTGCCTGAAGTTTAAATGCATGCCATCAGCAGAGTCACTCAATGGCCACTTCTTTTCCATACTAAATCAAAATACTTCTTTAAGTACTATTCATATCCTTCAACTATTAATGTTTTTCTTGATGTCAGACCAAAAGAAGAAGAAAAAAGAAATGTTGTTTGGTTTCATGATAGTGGTTCCTGTGAGCATCCTTAAGCAGGTGAGATGGTGAGAATCATGCTTGTCATCTCATAGAGAACTTGCTTCATTAGTGGTGCTGCAGGCTCTTGTCCCACATAGGATGTAGCTTGCATGGCTTTGCATCAGAAATGCAGTTGATGTTTTGCTTATTCTCTGGCTGAGTATGCATTAAGATATTTAATATCTTATTACTGACACACTGAAAGGTACAACCTTTAATGTCTATTTCATCTGAATATCTGACTGTGTGTTAACTTTGAAGCTGTTGTCCCACAAACAGAATGCAAACACTATTTTTGTGAGATGAAGTGACTTATCTGACACTCCAGTGTCCCTGACTTGCTCTTAAGATAACTTCAGTGTGCATTTAAGTTGAATATACTTACAAACCCTGGCTACAAACTTACATGTTGTAATACCCTGTGCAAGACTCCACAGCCCCTTCAAATGGCTCTTGATTAACCATATTACCAGTCTCCTCTGATATATATTGGATGCTCCTACTGCACTTTGATATACTGGTAGTGAACTGTCTTTAATTGCTGAAGTTGTCTAAAACAACTAATATGAGGGCTTTAAATTGGTTATAACTGAACAATTATAACTGTCCTTGACCCAAATTGGTTTGTGTCTTGACCTGAAATAGCACCATGTCCCCTTTGCTAGTACAGACTTCAAGGCCTGAAGTGCAAGGTTGTGCCCAGCTAAAACCTCCCTCCTGCTGACACATGTTAAGTTACCACAGTTCTTCCTAAAACTGATCCTACACAGTTAAAAGGAGGATTTGCATCTTAGTGCAATAAGTCTTAAAGCTCCCACCACCATTTCCTAAATATTTTTGTAATATATCTGTCTGGAAACTAACTCAAAAACACCTTCATGCTGTCTTTCTGAAGAAAATGTTCCCAAGAATAAGCAGTTAGTGCCTGCTGCTTGTTTCTTTTTCTTATCTTTTCAAACAGAAAATTTGGGTAAATATGTTCCTACAATACCATGTGGCTTAATGGACGTTTATCAGTCTCCTGACTTGCATGCACATTCTTGTAATATTTTCAGTCTCTCACTGAAGATGGTGATACCTTGTTAATGAGGCTGTTGAGAGAGGTTCCATAATGCTGTTCTGCCCTTTAGGCTCTTAATGCACAGCACACACCAGAATGGTTGAAGGAAGCTTTAGGGTCATGAAGAGACTTAGCAAAACAAGCTTCTTTTCATATTCAGAGTAGTGCCTCTCCTCCAGGGTGGCTGCTTTTTATTTTAAAAGGTGGGGTTTTTTTGGGTTCACTGATATGGCTTGTTTGGTATTCAATGATGGAAAGCAAAAGTAACTTTTTTCCTTACACCTCTAATCTGTTTTATCAGCAACTTTACAATACAGTTGTGTGACATTTATGGTAAGAATCAATTCTAATACTTCCAATCAAATGTTAATATCTTTCCTGTCTGCTGAATTCCTGTTAAAGTTTTGACATTAGTACTTGTGTGCTTCTGCTGCATTGGTGGTACTGAAGTGGCAGCTTAGTAAACAACAGTTAACTTCTTGCATGCAGTAAAATGATGAGAAGAATGCATGCTGTGCTTTAAAAGAAGGCAGGGTTTCCATACCTTTTGCTTCTGCTTTTACCATCCTAACTAGGGCAGCATGAATCTGCATGCCAGTGAAGTTCTGATGCTTGAGAACAGAGGTAGTGAGCTTGACAGCCTTTCATGAAGGAAGGCACAGGCTCATGTATTGCATGGCCTGAAATTTTTACAAGTTAGTAATCTTTCTCCCCACCCACAAACCATCTAGTACAGTTCATGTACTGCCTCTCTTGAAAATCTGCTTTGCTTTATTAAGTAACTAAATCTACAGAACACTAAAACCCCTCCATGGCTATATGAGGATCAAGTAGGTAACCAGCAAGAAATAAGAAGTTTGTACGCATGCTAATTAGGCTCATGTCTTCATGTTTTCTTGCTGCAGCAAAATGAGGATCCCAGCTGTTCTCTCATGTAATGTGGACAAAGAGACAATCATCTGAAAACATCTCTGAGTCCCAAGTGACATAGACTGTACGTGTTTTGGTATCTTCTGCAATATCTGAAACTTGGAATTCACATCACACCTGATGTCTTTGTAAGAAACGTTGTCTAGAACATGATGGAATTTCCTACCTTCTGATACTGGACCCTGTCCTCGGATTCACTCTTACAAAGAGCAGTAGAATGCAAGCTCCATGTGAACTTATTTTTACTTTTATACAGGGATCTGGTTTCCATGACCTGCTGAAAGAGAGGAGGGTACACAGTTTACAAAGCTTCTAAATGTGCTCTAGAAGGATGTTAAATACTTGACAATGAACATGAGGCTGCCTCAATATTCTGATATGGTGTTTCTCCAAAGATAATTTCTCTTTTAAGCCTGAGCGGGAAATGGGACAGATCACAGCCTGGCTTGCCCCTTGAGCAAGTTAAAACATTGTCCTGAAGAGTTATGAGTGTCTGAAATGTTTCCTGCTCAGGTCCTGATGCAGAAATATATGAAAACTGCTCTACAGCACTTGCTGGAGTGAAACACTTTAAAATTAAAAGCAAGTTGTAAAAAGTATTTGTGCCTGGTAATACACATACTGTTTCTATATTCTAGCACCTGGAAATCCCCCAGTTTCAGTATTGTATATTCCTAGACAGAATATCACAGCATAGCTGTGCCAACCTTAACTTGGACAAATGTATCCTGTAAATGTGAAAAAGCATCTCATTCCAACAGGGCAGGTACTGTGACTAGTGTTGTTGGCACTGTTTGAATAGTCCCAACAACAACTTTCTAAGGGGCTAGAAAGAAAAACATGCTAAAACAAACATGAAAACCAGAAAGCACCAACTGTAGTGAAAAATGCATTGAAACAGCTGCTCTTAGAGTACTTATGTACTGACTCCCTGCAGTCTGCAGCACTGGGGATGTGTCCAGTGGGCCAGTTGGGGGAATACTTGACTACTGGTCAGTGTGCTATCATTGATAGCTCTGGGTCCATGCAAAGCCTGTCCTGTAACGCTCAGAACCAGGCACTCAGCCTCTGGGGGCACTGCAGTCAGTCACTCCTTGCCTCTCTTCACTGAACTTAGTTGCTGGCCCTGAGGGGGAAAGGAAGGGCCTGGATGAGCCACTGGAAGTACACTTCTACTTTAGAGCAGGAGAGGAGTAGCTGAGCCTGCAGGTTTATCTAGATGCTGGAATAGTGTTTTGACTGTCTTTTATCTTGCCAAAGGACTCAGTTCCAAACTCAAGACCTTGGTGTTTTAGGATGTAGATGTTAAGGTGCTTATGCTAACTTAAGCTTTTACATTATTTGAAAGTTCTAGTTTTGAGACATCAAGAGTAGATGTTGGTTTAATACTTGCATTGTAGCAGATCCAAATTCTTGTTCCACCTGAAACCATAGAAATAGCTGCTGCTATAACATTGCTGTATTTGTCTTGATTTCTTAAAACTTTTTTAACTATTAAAGATATTTTTCATGTATATAAAAGTCTTGGATATAAAAGTCATGTATATAAGTCTGGGATTTGAATATTTGCAAATTAAATAATAAAGGTCTGTTTATTCACTGATTTCAGTTGAGTGGTTCAAAAGACTTCAAAGTAATAAACTGGTAAGTTTAGGGACTGCAGAGTGAAGAAACTTTCAGAACTGTACTCTGCTCTCCTGTTTACATTATATTTCAAATAAAGCTTGATTTAAGAGGACTCTTCATTATGTCAAATAAAACCTTTTTACTGCACAAGGGAGGGATGGTGTTAAGCAACTGCCATGGAAGAGCTGAAGTAGTATACAAGTGTTGATAGGGAAGAGCAACAGTCCAGGAAACAAGTTCTGCTTCCATTTACTCAATTCACAGTCTACAGGGTAGTTTGTTGTTTTTCCTTAGCATGCAACTTTCTATAAAGGCACAAATAGAAGAATCAATTCTCTGCTATGCAATGGATCCTACTGTGCAAATTGTCTTCCTGACAGCAAACCTTAATGACAGTGGGTAAAGTACATAGACCATAGGAAACCCTAATTGCTAACAGTATTGAGCTTTTGATTTGCTTCCAGGTTACTAATTTTGCACTTTCTACTTTCAATGAGGCATCTCTTGCAGCTGTCCAGGAGCTCTATACTAAATGATGAGCTGTCTATTGAAGAGTGTATTGAGAATTGAAATATATATATCTGTGCATGTACATTTGTGCATATATAATTCTTTCCTCTAGGGAATTCTGTTGAGGTAAAAGGGAGATTTCAATACCTCATTTCTTGCCTGTACGGGAAAGGTATGGTAGGTGAGATCTCTCTTATAAGGGGGGAAAAGCAAAAGCAACTGTGAATCCCAAAGACTTGAACCTGTGTAAGTTGTCTCAAGCATTTTATATTCAGAACTTCATAGCTACTTTCATTCAAAAACCAGCCAGGGCAATTTTCTTTCCATGTTGTTGCTCTAGTAACTAGTAATTCAGAAATGATGTGCCTGAAGGAGCAGGCTCCAGCAGAAGCTGTGAAGGATAACCCTCCTCTTCTTTTGTGACTATTGCACAAGTCTAGACCAGGTGAGGGAAACCAGAAAGCCATGGGTTTGAGAGCCACGTGGGGGCCATTTATGCTTCTTAAAAGGAAAAGGGACTGCACCTGTTATACACATGAAATTCTTTCCTCTCCAGGGAATGCTGTTTCAACTGGGCTACAGAGTGAAACTCTGAAGGTGGATTCAAGACAGTTTGCCCATAAAAGAGTTCAGCTCTCTTCTCATCAATTTATCTTGTATGGAGAGCAATTGGCAAAATATCACACCTTCCTCTGGGGCTGCTGACTTGATTTGGTCACTACTCCATCACTAAACATGCAAGAGATGGCTAATAGAGAAACACAGTGATTCTAACTTCATTTAGTACTTAATTTTGAGGCTTTTTTTTTAGCATATCTTTAGTTACCACATCTTTCCCTCACCATCTCATTTTCTCTTTTTTCTCCTTTCCATCCCTTTCAACTAAACATAAAAAGCAGAAGTGCATTGACTTTTCATTTGTTTGCAGTAGGCACCAGGGATACCTATTTCTCTCACAGGTGTTCTATACAACCTCTGTGGAACTAGAAGCAGTTTGTACTTAGTTCCAAGGAATTTGTCTCTTATCCTCCTCCTAGAAAAAAAAAAGTTAGACATTATAAATGCTAAACAATCAGTAGAGAGGTGGCAAGATGATTAGAATTCAGTGCCTGAGGTGTTATAAAACTAATACTTTGTCTTTATTCGTGCATTTTTAATGTAGCATTGTTTTTGTCACCGAAAGCTCAGATATTCAACAAAAGTGACCTCCAGTTCAAAAACAAGTGCCAGAACTATAGGTATAGAAGCAGCAGCCACTCTTCTTATCCCACAGAAATATTTATTCAGTTTGGTCAGTAAATTATAGGAATCTTCAATGCTGAGAACTTGTACTTAGTACAACATCATCATCATATTGACAATAACCACTTTGCCTTTTGTCAACATACAATGTGAAAGATGTATTAACTTGTTCACAATAAATTACAGTGTGATAGATGAAAAGAGCTAAATGGCATCAGTAACTGAGGAATTGGTTACAGTTAGCTTCACTAACAGTATTTTTAAAAATGGTTTTCAATAGTAAAATCATTGCAGCCAAAGGTAAAAAAAAAAAATCCACATACAATAATAGCAAGGAAACGCATTTTTGGAGCAACAGTGAGCTACCAGTAAACACTTCATACAGTGATCTTCAAGGCACAAAGCAAAAAAACTAGGTATGGGTTTTTTTGCAGGTTGACAAATCAGGGAAGGTGAAATTTTTTTGAATATAAAATAAATACATTTTAAAAAGACGCATACAAAAGTCAGTAAGTCAGTCAAATAGCAAGGCTTTCACAGAATGCCACACTGACAGAACATTTGTGAATCCATTTCAGTCATGAAATCATGTTCACAGCTCAAATGACACAATCACTGAGGCAAGGGAACTATCACTTCAACATAATTAATGGGGAAGAAGCCAGACTCTCCATTTAACATCCCCTCATACCAATTCTCATCAATCTGATTGGTCAGAGTTATGATGTCCCCTTCCTTAAACCCAAGCTCGCCTTCATTTTCTGGCTCAAAGTCGTAGAGAGCTTGGCAGCAAGGCTGATCCATGTGCACTGAAGAACCTGCCCCAGTGACAGAAAGAACAACCATATTAATCAAGCTTCACAGCATCCCACCAGTCACTGAGAATGAAACAATGGGTCAAAAATGTAGCTCTGCTGTCCTGTTGATAGTTTTTCCATTGCTTTTACCCACTGACATCTGGTGCTTCTGCATACAGAATACAAGACTAGTTATAGTAAGTTTAAAGTGTAATTCTGTTCCTCCCTTAAGTACAGATGCTACTCCATTTTCATTCCTAGCTGCCTTCCCTTTGAAAAGGATGTTTATCTCAAACTGAAGGTTTGAGTAATCAGTTGTCAAAACCAGTGTGGTCTCTGGAGCAGCTGCCACAGAGGGATCAGAAGGGGAGGAGCTGAGGAAGTAGAACAGTCAACAGGGGAAATGACAAGGAATCATTTAAACAAATTGCAGAGCAGCCCAGTGCTCCTGTGTGGATACCACGAGGGCAGGGGTATCCTGCACACACCTGCAGCCTGCAGGCAGCCACCTGGATTGTCACACTCCTTGGGCCTTTGCAGGAGCAAGGCTTCCACCCTGACCTCACCTGAGCAGTGACAGGCACTTCTGGGCTACTGCTCCCCAAGTTCATGTGCTCAAATCCTTTGTTGTACACGTCCCTCTGAACTACAGCAAATGTTTTGCTGGGAACAACAGTGCCTGTCAAACTATTTTAGGGATGAAAACAGTTTTCCAATGCAGGATCTGGCCGTTCTTGTGACTTAAAGTGTTTGCCCTGCTATAAAGATCTTCATTCCAAATTACTCTTTTAAAATATTAGTGGTACCATATGCAAATGTAATAGTAAGTACATCTATTTACAGGAAAGCAAGTAAATATAAATATAAAGTATAATATAAAGTATATTCTACAATATAAAGTATAAAACAGAACCACCATTAGCAAAAGAAGTTAACCTTATAAATGCAGTTACCTTTTATAAAGCCTTATTATTCTCATGAAGGGCTGTTCATTGTCTTGGATTTGTGGTAAAGATATATATGTAATATATTAATTTTTATGAATAATAACTTATTCTAATGAAATTTAATCTAATGTTCAAATTGTAAAGCTTAGCTCCATGGCCAAGGATAGCCAGAGGTTCAACTGAAGTTCAGCCATAACATATTTTTTAAAAACATATCAGTATATCCAAGTGAAAGTCTGGTAATTTAAAAGACATTTATAAAGGAAGAATAGGAGAAAAGATTTCATGCTGTTGCCATGTAAGCAGCAGTGCAACACCTGGCAGCATGACACCTCTAGAACACTAGAACTTAATATTTAAGAGGTTTAACTGCTAATGTAAGTTGTTTTGGTTGTCTTATTTGGAACACTGCACTAATTTTCCAATATACCAGTCTGGACTCTCTCCCCCAGCTATCCCACATGCTAATCATGCAATCCCCTTGAGGAATCATTTTTTACTGGGTAAATCTGCATACAACTAGTAATGCAATACAGATATGGTAGCTAAGGTGGCAAAAATGCATTTTAATCTGTTAATCATGGTAATACACAGAAAACTATTAAAAAGAAACTTTTCAGCATTTTCTAGATAAAGGAATTAGGAGAAGGTCTCTTAAGGAAACCAGCTGAAAACCATTCTGGTGATCAGTCAGTGAGAACAGACAGGTGAAAGCATCTTTTTAATTGACAATAATGCAACTGGGGCAATATCTGGTGTTATAAAACTGGCACGTAGGAATTACTTTTCTATTTTGTGGGTATGTTTTATGCTTTATAGCGACAGAAGAGAGCTTTTATTTAAAACAATGGGAGAGAACTGCCAGCAGAGATCCCGCTCGGCAAACCTCCCCAGAGCAGCACTGTCACAGAGCCAGACTCGTCCTCTGCCTGGGGAAGGCTCAGGGTAGTTTTACAGGGACAAACTAAATTAGGGCTGGTCTAATACACTGGTCCAGGGGAAAGCCTGGTTCTCCCATTTTTGCTGAAACAGTCCAAGCAGAAATAAAGAGGAGTCAGTTGCCCAGCAAAAATGGACTGTGTTTAAAACCACAAGAGGACTGATTGTGTTAAAAATAACTCAGCTATTTTCAGCCTTTGCCAAGGTAGAACTGGTACCAGCTCTCTGGAACTGTCAACAGCAGAAGGCAGCACTCAGAATAATTGACAGAGTTCCTTGCTTTCACCAGCTGCTCCAATGGGGCTAATTTATTATTGCAGGCCTGTTAATTTCTGACAGTAAGGTACCTGATATGAGATGGATCACATTTGGTTCATTTTAAGCTCCAAAGAACTGAAAAGATGTCTGGCAGCCTGGAAAGATTTTCAAATAATGGTCACAGCCAGCACAACCGGTTTCACTCCAGGCTGTAGGATCAGTCAAAGTCTTCATTAGAGTCAGGCAGCTGCTGCTACTGTATAATCCAATGAGACAAAGCTTCCCTGACAAAGGTAA